GTTGTCATACAAAGAACCAAGAAAATGTGAGCAGTTCTCAAGGGTAAAGATACTCAATATAGATGCTTATGTCAAGATGATCCAGATGTTGGACTTATCAAAGACTTTAAAGTATCTACTATAAATATGCTCCATGAGGTCAAGATAAATATATTTGAATGAGTGGAAATGATTTGGAATGAGTGGAAAAATAGGAGTCTTTGCAGAGGAATATAAATTAAGAATCAAATGGACATTTTAGCACTTATAAATACAATATCTAAAATTTTAAAAATTTCATTGGATAAGCTCAACAGTAGACAGAAAAATGAGTCTGTGATCTTGGAGGCAGATCAATAAAAATTATCCAATCTGAAGAACAGAGAAAAAAAGACTAAAAGAAAAAAGAACAGATTCTCAGGGACTGGCAGGGCACCATCGAAGGGTTAACATTCATGTTATTCAAGCACCAGAAGAGATAAGGGAGAGACAAGTGCAGGAAAACTATTTGAATATATGACTGAAAAAATTCCCAAATTTGATGGAAGAAATATATATTTAGATTCAAGAAGCCTCAGAAAACTCCAAATAGGATAAAGCCAAACATGTAACAGCAAATTTGACAGAGAAGAAGCATTTGGTTGGTATTGTCTCTTTAAATATACCTATTTCCAAAAACACAGGTCACATCATCCTTAGGAAATACTAGCCTCATCACTACTTATAGCCCTCTGTATAGATTATCTAACTTGGATTGCTTAATCTTCCGCTCAAGATTGTCAATCATGATTTAATATCTCCTTTCTCACAAATAGATTTTTTTCATAAAAATCATCACTGCCATCTTTCATTATCATTAAATTGTCATTTAACAACTAGAAATAATTTCTTAATTTAATATTTTTTTCTGAACCCCCAAAAAGAGCAACAAAAAAAGAATAAAATAAATTTAGGAAAAATGAAAAGATAGCTCTACTGAACCTTGTGTATTCTGAGCCTTGGGAATTCTGTCACTGATGGAATTTCCATTAGCTCTTCTGTCAAATTCATCTGAAAATGCCTAGAAACACAAAGACAGTTTTGATTACTACAATCCTTATTAGATGAATGAATTTGATTCATCACAGGTTATGATCATGCATGCACAAATATTGATGAGAGAACAATTCTCAAAGTATTATTATTATCATTATGTATTTTCAAAGTCATGAAAATACATATATTATTTCTACAAATGCATCCCATGAAAATTATCAAAGATGGGAACAAAGATATAAATACAAAAATATTCATTACAGTGCTATTTAATAAAATCAAGAAGAAAATAAAACAGTTTAAAATCCAGTACAGAAATAATTAAATACATTTTAGTATATCCCTGTGTTAAAATATTTAGCAGCAATTAGGAATTGCATTTTCAAAGAGTAGTTACTAGAATAGAGAAGTACTCATTTTACATTATTAAATTAAAGAAGATTAACTTTAATTATATTATTATGACACCACTTTGCAAAGTAGCACATATGTATAGACGAAGACCATAACAAAATATGACTAAGGTAATTTTTGCATTTTGCATTGTTCAAAGTTTCTATAATGAATATATATTTCTTTCATATTAGGTAAGAGCAAGTAAGTTGCCAGTTGTTAAGAGAAAGACAATCACAAGAACCAAGGTACTTCAGTTTTTAACTTCTTAATTGTACCAGAATAGGAATGGCTAGTGGTGTAGTGCATTTTGGAGCAAGAGACTGTATTTTAGGTTTAGTGAACCTGTGAATTCCATTTCTTTGCCTGGTAGAGGCACCCCACAATCATCACATTTGTGTAAACAGCAACAGAGAATTTTGTTGGTAAAAAACAAAAAGTACCAAGTAACATCTTGGCTGAAAGGCTGATACAATAAAGGGATAAGGACTGGAATAGACTATAGACTGAGAGTGTCAGACTCATAGACCTCCAGGGCCCAGGCAGGAAGCTACAAGTGTAAAGGTGAAGTGATGTGACTCTAGAGGACTATACAGCACCTGCCATTCAGCCTCAGCAAACTGTTCAGACAGAAACCCACACCCAATGTGTCCGAATGTCACAGTGGACATCTGGAGTGTTATGTGAAACGAGATGCCCGGTGCATGAAATTCATGCACTCGGGGGGTCCTTTAGCCCAGCCTGCACCCTTTCAAAGTCCTGGAGCCATTGCCAGATGTCTGAACAAAGAGCTTAGCCGGCTCCCAATGGGAGTGAGCCTAAGTCTGCAGTTGGAAATCCTTAGCATTGCTGTGCAGGTGGGAGAGGCTTCCGCCACCACCGCTGCACTCACCAGTCGTGAGCCTGGCTTTTGGCTGAGAAGCACTCCTCCTGTGGGAGCACACTGGCCATCAGGGGGCAGCTCCTGCTTTGAGTGTCTGCCCCCTGGTGGCCAGTGTACATCATAGCGACTGGTCTTCTGCTTTTTGGCAATGTGCATATTAGCCTGTTATTATTATTATATAGGATGTCCCTATTTCCCCCCTCTTGCCCCCTCTACCCAGATCTTGCTCCCCCACTTCTCTCTGGCCATCACCATTCTGTTGTCTGTGTCTATGGGTTGTGCATATATGTTCTTTGGGTAATCTCTTCACCTTCTTTCATCCAGTCTTGCTGATGTCCCCCTCCCTTCTGACAGCTGTCAGTCGGTTCCCATACATTATTAAAATTTCTTTTATGACTCCATTATTTCAATTTAAAATCAAGCACCAAGATCTTTCAACTTTTATACTAAAACTAAGAAAGGAGATAGTATGTGCTACATACCCATCCATCCCATGATCCACATCACCTTGTATAATGCGGGTCATAGGGGGTTTGTTCAAAAGCATTTATTAACTAGAAATCACTATAGTTATTCAGACCAACTAAATGGACCATATTATCTTGCTCAGGTGGTTTGGTTGTCTGAATAGAATTTAGATTAGAATTGTTTGCTTTGTAAGAACTTAAAGGTGGTATTTAGATCCAGAAAAAAATTAACAATGACTTAAAAATTCAAATGGTCCAATGATTCATGAACATCTCTTGGGTTGCTGGCCTTGATCTGATCATTTAATTCTTGCACTACCATGGAACTTTTCAAACATTTAATGTCATTTATTCTTCTGGATTCTAAGGACTTGGTGGCAGGGATAATGGACTCTTATTAAATGCCTCTTGTTCTCTCATAATGTAGAGTCCAGTGGCTCACCTATAGCTGATGTTCAGCAAAATGAGAGCTGACTATAGAGAATCCATAGAGGTCGATGGACTCTCTATGAGTGAAGATGGTCCTAGTATTTCTGGTACCAACTCTCCTATTCCAGCAGGTGTGGGGGGTGCTGAGTTCATTCTTACCACATCCTTCAGTTGTATTTCATCCTAACAATCTTCTATTTATAGAACCAAAACTATGCTTTTATATTATGTATTAAAATTTCTGCGTTCATATGGAAGGAAATCCTATAGCTTAAAAGAAGGCTAAGGACATGTCAAGTCCATTGCAATATATGGGCCTTATTTGGATTCTGACTCAAACAAACAAGCTGTAAAATCCAAACATTTATGAGACAGTTGGAAATTTGAACATTAACTTGATAATTGATGAAATAAAGGAATGATTGTTAATTTATTTTTTGAGTGAAAATAGTATTATGGTGGTGTTACTTTTTTTTTAAGTGAAGGGAAACTTTTTTTTTAATTACATTTTTATTGACTTGAGGAGAGAGTAAGTGAAACATCAATGAGAGAAAATATTGATTGGCTACCTCCTACATGCTCAACAGAGATCGAGCCTGCAATACAGGCATGTGTGCTGGCTGGGAATCGAACCTGTGACCTCTCAGTGCATGGGACAATGCTCAACCAATTGAGCCACACCAGCCAGGGCCATGCTGTTGTTACTTTTTAAGTTCCAATGTCTAAAAAAATACTGACTTGTTTATGGGTAAAATTATATCTGTGATTTGCTTCAAAATAATATGGGGTCCTGGCAGAGTGGCTTAGTTGTTTGGAGTGTCATCCATACACCATAAGGTTGTGGGTTGGGCACATACTTAGGTTTCAGGTTCGATTCCCAGTAGGTGTGTGTGTGATGTTTCTCTCTCTCATTGATGTCTCTCTCTCTCTCTCTGTCTCTCTCTCTCTTCTCTTTTTCTCCCTCTCTCTCTCAAAACAAAAATCAATAAAAAAATTCTTGGGTGACAATGAAAAATAAATAATTTTTAAAATAATATGGGAAGAAAGGCATAAATGGAGATAGAAATAAAACATATTAGCCATAGGTTGATAATTGTGAAAATGAGTGATGGCTATAAGGGAGTTTATTATACTACTAGAGGCCCAGTGTAAGAATTCATGCAGAGGTGGGGTCTGGCTGGCCCGGCCCCAATTGGAGCATATCAGGACTGGGCCTGGTGGGAGGAGATGGTGGGAGGTTGGATGGCTGGTCCACCCCGATTGAGGCCCAATCAGGGCCAGGCCGGCTGGGGGGAGGGGCCATGGGAGGTTGGCCAGCTGGCCCTGCCCCGATGGGGAGGGGGGCCGATCTGGGGTGGAGCTGGGCAGAAGGAGGGCCTGCAGAAAGTTGGCCAGCTGGCTTCGCCCCCGATTGTGGTGAGGGGGTGATCAGGGGCAGTGACCAGGAGGAGGGGCTGCAGGCCGATCAGGGTGGTAGGGGCCCATCAGGGGAAGGGCTGGCTGTGGGGAGGGAATGCAAGAGGTTGTCCAATCAGCCCCACCTTCTATTGGGGTGGAGTGTGTGATTAGGAGTGGGGCAGCCAGGGGGAGGGTCTGCAGGAGGTTGACCGGCCAGCCCTGCCCCCTACTGGGGTGAGAGGGTGATCAGGAGTGGGGCCCACAGGGGGGAGTGGCTGTGGGCCAATCAGGGTGGTGGGGGCGCATAGGGAGCAGGGCCAGTTAGGGGGAGGGGCTGCAGGCCTATCATGGTAGAGTGGGCCGATTGGGGGCATGGCCAGCCGATCGGAAGGACAGGGTGTGTGTGTTGGGGGGAGGGGGGAAATTTGGCTGGCTGGCCCTGCCCCTCCTTAGGGTGGGAGAGAACTATCAGGGGAAGGCAGGATGGGGGTAGGGGCTCCAGTAGGTTGGCCGGTGGGCCCCACCCCCTGATCAGGCTGGTTTGCTGGCCACAGTGGGCGTCATAGCGACCAGTCATCGGTCCTTCCGATTGTCGCGGTTGTTGGCTTTTTATATATATAGATTTTGTTTATGTTTGTACATGTTTGAAATTTTCCTAAGTAAGAATCTAAATTTTTTTCTATATTCATAACTTTGCTTGAAAATTGCTATGCTACAAATAGTCTACAGTGCTCTTCTACTTTCCTGCACGGGAAATACATAAAAGAAACAACCTGTTTGACCAAGAAGACATTGGATACCATTAGCACTCAGTTGACAAAATAACCAGAAAAGAATGAAGCTGTACCTGAATATTCCCATGATCACTTGGGTGCAGCAGAAAGCAAACCTCTTGTAAAGTTGTTGGTTGATTGCTGCTACTAAATTTGAACACTTCTGAAATGATCAATTCAGCAAAAACAGTCTTAGGAAACCCCAAATTGCCTGTTCCTATGGCTGGAAATGCAATTGAGTTTAAGGACAAGTTCTCAGTGATTTCCAAACATTTTCTGATTATGTCTTGCATGATCTGAAAAGTACAAAGCACATCCTCATACATTTTTTTTGCCTGGAAATGGGAGCTAGGACCAAAAAAAGAGAATTTAGCAACTATGACTGTGGTATTTTTCTACTCCTTTCTGCTTTGAACAAAAGGCAGGCTAAGGTCTGTCAGAAGGGGAAAGAAAAATACAGGAAAAGGGAATGTAGGAAACCCTTCAAAAAGATTCACATGCACTTGGCAATGAAGGAAAGAATCAAAGCAACTACTGTTCTAATCCTTCATGCTCTTCCATTCTTCATGCCCTCACCTTTCCTTCCTCACTAAAGATGTGCTATCTTTGCCCAGCCAGAGTGCCTCAGTGGTTGAGCGTTGACTTATGAACCAGGAGGTCATGGTTTCATTCCTGGTCCAGGCACATGCCTGGATGGCAGGCTCGATCCCCAGTAGGAGTTCGTGCAGGAGGTAGCCGATCAACGATTCCCTCTCATCATTGATGTTTCTATCTCTCTCTCTCTCTCCCTTCCTCTCTGAAATCAATTTTTAAGAAAGGTTGTGCTATCTTCAATAACTCTTCCCCATCTTCAATAACTAGTATTCAGGAGCAGTCAGCTACACTAAAAGAAAGGGCCATAATGATGGAACCTGCCAAGAATGTGAAGTTATTACAGAAGAGAAACAGACAGAATGCAATGTACATTTTATTGAAAGGAGAACCAAAAGGTACCCAATTTCCCGGAGAATTTAAAACCAGGCCCCACCTTGAGTGAAGATGTGTCACCATTGTTCCAGTTCGGAGCCACCACGTGAAGCACTTGGTAGGACACACTCTGACCACTGGTTTGAAGAATTGTGCCCACGTCAACAGCTATCCCTTGTGCAGCTGCATTCAATTCCTTCTGGAGATTTGGCCCAGCTTTTGCCAAGAGGGCCTTAGAAAGGGGCCCGCTATTAAGGTTGAGATCCCGAGGAATGGAGTTGACGACAACATCAGCCTAAAGACAAAACCAACAATTTGTTTCAAATTCTAACAAAAAGCATTCATCAAGGATTACTGTATTTGAGCCATTGGACTTGGCACAATGGGGACAACTAAAGATTATTGTTTTCAGAGACAAATACCACCCAAGATAATGTTATTAGATACTTATTTAAGTTACACTCCAGGACAGAAGAGAGCTGTCAAAAAGTAGGATCACTGAAGGGGTCCAGAGGAAGTGCCATCGGTGGCCAGTGAGTACACCCTGTGTGATGTGGGCCCTTTGGGAACAGTTGAAGCAGGCAGGGGGAGACGGGGAAATCATTCAGAAGGGGAAACACATGCATGGTGGGTGTGAGCTGTTGAGCTGATAGACAGCTTCTACAGCAAAATGGTGCAAGCCAGGCTGGCAATGTTACTGGGGGGTAGACTGCAGAGGACCTCAAATGCCAGGCCATCTGGACTTCCCGACAGACAGTGAGAAGCCATGGAGGCTTTTTCAGCAGAAAAGTTAATGTGAACAGAATAATCAACTAGAGTAAGACACCAAGAGAAGAGAGGAGAAGGAATGTGACTAAGTCATTTTCAAAGCTGTCCTGCATGGGTCCTGGACGAGCAACACACTGTAGGTACTGTGGCATAGGAACTCACACATCTTTGGGAGAAAAAGGAATGGAAGAAATATCTTACTATTTAGTGTTCAAGATGGAAAAGGAATGGAACTCATTCCAATTACTGACTCACGGTCAAAGAGTTTCTTGTCTATGCATTTGGGTTTTTTTATGAAAAATAAAATCATTTTATAATATTTTTGAAATAGTGCCTGAACACATTCCAATCTTACCTTTACCATTTGTTAGCTGTGAGAGTTGGGCAAATTACTTAGCCCCTCTACGTCTCATTCCTTCATCTCTTTGAGAATAAAAATAATCGTGGAATCTACCTCATGGCATTGAATGAGAAAATGCAAGCCAAGCACTTAGCATAGTGCTTGGCACATACTAAGTAATCATTGTTAGCAATTATTCTTCTAATTATCATTTAAGATTATTATATAAGGAAGATGACCCACAGAATGGGAAAAAATATTTGCAAATCATAATCTGGTAAGAGACCTATGTCCAAAGTACATAAAGAACTTTTAAAATTCAGTAATAAAAAGATAACCCAATTGCCCTAGCTGGTTTGGCTCAGTGGATAGAGCATCAACCTGGGGACTGAAGGATCCCAGGTTCAATTGCAGTCAAGGGCACATGCCTGGGTTGAGGCTCCATCCCCAGTAGAGGGTGTACAGGAGGAAGTGATCAAGGATTCTCTCTCATCATTGATGTTTCTATCTCCCTCTCCCTTCCTGTCTGAAATCAATAAAAAATATATATTTTTTAAAAGATAACCCAATTTAAAAGTGGACAAAGGATCTGAATAAGTATTTCTCCGAAGAAAATAGGCAAATGGGCTTCACTAGGAATCTCTTCCCCAGGCCTGCCCACAATCCTCAAAGGAAGGAAGGAACATCTGGCACAGCAGGGGCTTCCAGGGCTATTTCCATTAGCTAGAGCCTGTGTTGAAGAGGTTGTTAAATATGTTTTAAAAAAACACATGACCCCCCTGGCAGACCTACAATAATTGTCCGCACATAGTACTCAGACCACTTCCAGGTGCAGTTTCCACTTTCCTTCCCACAGCTTCTTACTGGTGCTGCGTGCTGATTGGCCCTCAGACTCAGGCCTCCAGGCTCAACCTGGTTCAGCTCCATTGACGAGATTCCTGTCTTCTGTCTCCACTCTACACTCTAATTTTTCTATATATGTTATCAGTAAAATTGATAGGAAATTAACCTCAGATTTGCCAAAATATGACAGGTCTGAAGGCCCTGAAAAGTATACAGACCCTTGAAATTGTAAGCTATTATTGTGGATTTTCACATTTACTGGAAACCTAGTGATCTGAATATACTTCCAGGTCCCACAGATAACTGGCCACTCTGTATCAGTAAATGCTGTGGTGAAGTAGCCCAATTTTCTAAGGAAATTTGTTTCCAGGTCAGCATGGAGAACATGGGATTCTATCCCTAATTCTCCCTTGATCCTAATCTTTCTTTGGCAACAGACTCCCTGGAGTTGCAGCACCTAGTGGGTGTTCTGTAAAACGGACACTCACCGTAGCATTCTGCACGTCTCCTTTCACCAACAGGATCCTCAGACCTCCTGGGCACAGCAGCATTTTTCTGTTTCCATCACTGTTTCTCGGGCCCGGCTGGACTCCTGCAGGTACACTGGGCAGGGAAGCAGCATCAGGCTTGTTGTTTTTAAATACAGTTTTCACAGTTTCAGCAAAGGCCTCAACAGTCTTCTCAGCTAAATCCACAAGGTAAACCTCTTTCAAGGTGTATCCAGTCCAGTTATACTGGAAAAATTCCTTGATTGCCAAAACAATGGCCTCAACACACTGGGATAAGGGAAAGCCACCATCTCCAGAACTAAAAGCAGGGATGGCTATGGATTGGCATTGGCATTTAGCAGCCAAAGGAGCACTTCTGCCCATCTCTCCCACCTCCCTCCTTCTTTCCTTCATTCTGCAGTAGTTCTACAAAACAACCAAATGACCGTACCTCACGTTTATAATACCATGGTTTATCCTGGAAGGACTGGCTGGCTCCTGGCTTATCAATACTGATGCTTTTAACACAAACTGAATCCCTGGCTTGTTTGAGAATGTTCATTCCCTCCAGGACTTCGGCCTTTGAGCCAGTTAGTAAAATGCCTTTCGGTTTGTTCCTAGAATTAAAATCTACCTGAACCTTTAGCTTGTTCATCTTTATCTTTTGCAAGAATAGCTTCTTCTCTGCCTTTAAATAATCAATAACTAAGGGAGGCTTTACTTCAAGGAATCTCTCTATTTTCATGTTTTTTTCCACAAAGTCAGAAAGGAAGTGATAGATTTCATTTACATCTCTCACGCAGCCTGCAATAATGACCTCAGCTGTGGTTCCTGAAGTTAACTCATTGATCGTTACAGTCTTTGAGGAGGAATTATGTTTCTTTGGCAAATTCTTAGTGATGGCTTTCCATTTCTTGCTGTTAAGAAATTCCCTGTCCTCAATGTCTATGCACTTATAACTTAAGGCCCTGACCATTTGCTTCTCAGCTTCTAAGAGGACTTCAGAAGAACAGCCGGTTAAGAAAACAGTTGTGCCCTCTAGCTCATAAACTGCAAGAATTTTCTGTGCTATCAAAAGAGACTTGGAGAGTTCTGAACAGTCAGCCTGTTGCAAAAACTGCAAAACCTCAGGGGGAAGCTGAATGCTTTTCTGAACCATGGTGTACACCTTTTCCTGGACTTCGCACTTTGCCTTATACACGTCTATACTGTGTCCTTTAAAGCACATGTGTTGGGTGGCTCTGTCATAAAAAATCTCCATATCTGGGCACTCCCTGTGGAGACGCTCCTGCACACCGCTGTGGCACAAAAGAGAATACTTTCTTGGAGACATGGCCACTTTCTCCTTCAGACTTTGCTCTTCTCTTTTAACTTTTTGAGTGGCCTTTTCTATTAACTCCTTGATTTGTGGCTCAATGTTTTGTACATCCTCTGATTTCCCCACTAAGGTTACAATCCCCATACCTGTATCATATTCAATCAAAATTCTTTCATCTTCTAAGTCATTTTTCATGATGTCCCACACTACTGGGTCCACTTTAAATGGACTAACTTTAAATCTAGACCTGATGCCAAAGAAGGCTGTTCTTTTTGTGCAAGAACTTCCATAAAGAAAGATCCAAAGATTCTTTAAATGGTGCTGGAAGCTTGATCAGAGGCTTCTCCTTTCCATACAAAACTATGCCCAAGGAGGTATAATATGGGAACACAGAGAGCGGCATATTATTGAGGTCAAGCTCCTTGGTCATGATGGTGTCTAACACTTAAAAGGAAGCAATAAAATAAAGTTATCTCAGGGTAATATGTTTCAAATGAAAACAAACAAACTAAACTTTCCTGTTTGGGGGGAAGGTGGAACCCTAGTGTTTATAGAACTTTGCTGTTACAACATGGTATTAATAGCAGCTCTAGTTTCAAAGTGCTCAAATATAAATTGACTAGAGGCCTGCTGCACGAATTTGTGCATGGGTGGTGTCCCTAGTCCTGGCCAGTGATCAGGGCCAAGCAGGGCTGGGACACTGGGGCCTACCGGCCCCAGGAAGGAACAGGGTATGGGACGTTGGTCACCGGCCCCAAGGAGGGAGCCAGCCCTCGATGCCCCTGGGAAAGGGGCCTTGTCTGCTCCCACCCAGCCCCAGCTCCCCATCCCAGCCCGGGGCCAAATGGCCAAGTAGGGTCGGGAGAGGAGATGATGGTCACTGGGCCAGGCACAGAAGGAACAGCTGCCCCCTGCCAGTGGCCAACACCACTGGCTGGCCGCAGGAGGTTGGCTGTGGGAGCACACAGACCACCAGGGGGCAGCTCCTGCATTGAACATCTGCCCCCTGATGGTCATTGTGCATCATAGTGACTGGTTGACCAGGTGCTCCAGTCATTCTGGTCTTTTGGTTGTAATGGTCGCGTGGGCTTTTATATATAAAGATATATATTAACACTACACAGGTATCCCTTGTATAATGGAGGAATTACTTTCTGGCCAAGATCACTGTATGGTGAAATTCTGTTATGTAAATTCTATTTTCTGTTTTTGTGATTACTCTGCTACATCACCACCAGATTAAGAAATAGATATGACTTTGGTCAAAAGTATGGGGATACTGTTTGCGCCAGTGTAAAGAATATTTTGGTGTTTACAGCCAACCTTGTCTAAGAAACATGCTATGTGCTGTTTCTTGTGCCTCTCACAGTTTTAGGCTTCATAGATGATTTGGATTCCATTATTACTTCTCAGGGGAGGCACACAATAATAATTATCATAGCTTACTAAGTGCCAGACACTATTCTAGGGGCTTTATATATATTTAATTAATTTAATCCTCATGACAACCTTTTGAGATAGAGACACTATTATTATCACTATTTAGAAATGATAAAACTCTGGCTAGTTAAAATTAGATAACTTAAATAGGGTCATGTAGACTGTAAATGTCTGAGCTAAGATTCAAATCAGTGTCTGTTTGACCCCAAAGCCCACACTCTTGCCCTTCTACCAAGGGTTCCAAACCAAGGTCATCCTCAAAGTCATCAGAGCCCAGCCCAGAGACTGATTCAGCAAGTCCTGCACCTCCCCCATCCCTGCTGTAATCAGTCTCTTGCCACTTTTACTGGGACAGTCGCTAGGATGGTATATGGGCATGTCTGTGTGTGGGTGGGTGGATACTCTTCTCCCCAAACTCATTTTGTGGTAGTTATCAGACAGGTACACGGAGTCTAAGAAGGAAGGGAATTAGAATGAATTCCAGTAACAACTTGGATTAAAATAGCATCCTTGTGGAAAGATGTTAAAAATAACTTCACTTGTAATGATTGGATCCTAGGCAAGCACTTTGCAGATATAATTTCATTTAATCCTCATAATGTTCCTGCAAGGTAAGTAATAGAGGAACTCTGTTTTACACATGAGAAAACATAGGATTTGGTGGGTTTAGTAACCTGTCCAAGATCACAAAGCTAGTAAGCACCAAAGCCAGATCTGAACATGGATCTATCTGATACGAAAACCATCAGAGAGATCTTAAATTTTCCATCCCATTTCCTCTTCTGTAAAGAAAGAGTAACCAAATCTAACCATGCAGGATATTATGGGGATTCAGTGAGATACTGTGGCAGAAAACAACAAAAATCTCACGTGCAATAGGTGTCTCATAAGGGTTCCCTTCCTGAAGATTTTGTGAATCAGATATTGGGAAATTGAGCCAAATAATTTCAGAGTGAAGTGCCTAACATTCATCTCAAATAATCTACATATAAAACAATATTGCTAAATAAATTCTGTTCTTAACCCATCTTTATCGACAGTTTGCCTCATTATTGGTAACCCACCGTAAGTGGTGAAATATCCCACAAGAAAAATTCATGTTATAGGTGAATGGGAAACTGGGGAAAAGTGGAGAACTTAAAAGCATTGATTATGGGCCCAGACTGCCAAGGTTCAAATCCTGCCTCTGTCACTCACTAGCTGTGGAACCTTGGTCAAGTGATTTGACCTTTCTGTACCTCAGTTTCTTCATTTGTAAAATAAGGATTATAATAATAGCAATGCCTGTAAAGCAATGTCTATAAATCCACTTTGTAGCACTCTGCAGAGCTCTGCAAATGTCCAGAGTGAAAAAGGGAAAGTCAGTGTATCTGAGACCCTGTAAATCAGGGAATGTGCAAGGTTAGAGAGGAGGCATGACCAACATAGTCAGATGGTTCAAAGATGTCAAGTGAAATGGAACCTTTAATAGGATCCTACTGTTCACAGGTGTAGCTCAGATATAAAATAAGCCTCAATTAAATACATCCTATTGTTAGTGGTACCCATGTAACTAGTCATTCTGAGGATACACCCAACTGCCCCATGCCCTCAAGATGTTCAAAAGCCCCAAAGTTGTCTACTCCCACCACTGGTTGGGAGCTAAGTTCTAGAGTAGACAGCTGTATGTAGCTCTACGTTTGCCCAAGGAACACTAGGTCTTTCATTCTATCTAAAGCGAAACCATGCCTTCTTCCCAATTTCTCCAATTTATAAAAGCTGAAGGGAGGTTCTTACAAGAACCCCATGAAGCAATTTATCTTAAGTGGGTGGCATATCATATGATCCTATCTCTTGCTCCCCCATTTAATCCCAAACACGAGGTTTTTCTTTCCCTGAGAAGTCAGGTTCCCTAATTCCTCAGCCTTGACCTCTGAACATGAATGCAATCTCCAAGCCTGCTTTGCAAGTGTCTCAGAGAACTGGCAATTTCTGTCTACAAAACCCTCAGGAGTGCTTCCCTGAGCTTCTGCTGGGCATGGTTTTCACAGGGTCACTGCACCCATTGATCATATGAAATCGCCCCTATTAACTTCTGAATGATGACCCTGACAGGTGAAAGGGGACTTGGTGATACTTTCTAGGAGCATATGAATTTCTGAGTATTTCTTTACTTAAACTTGTTGAAATTAACTTGAGAATTTCTGCCAAGTATACAGCTAAAAAACACAGATAATCTCTTTTTTAACACAGTATTTCCAGGATTCTAAGAATTATATATTTTTCAGGTGTCATAAGTAGAGACTTATGAGAGAAACTTTATATCTTTCAACAAAGTGACATTACTTCTTTAATGTTTGAATCACTGGACACATTAAGTATCATATTCCAGATGAACAGGATTCCTAACTGGATTACCAAGGAAATATATGAATAAAAATAAAATACATCAGAATTCAACTTCTTCAGTAAAACATTCAATACTGACAACTCTTCCCCCTCCATTTTGAGGATTTTCAAATAAACATTTCAAATTATAGGAGTCAACATCAGGCGGCAGGTTTTCAACCCTGATAGTTTTTGTCATTTCCAGAAGTCTTGGAGAAAGCTGAAGTTGTGTCACTGAATGGTGCATGGCACAATCTTCAACAAATTTTATGGTATCTGCAAACCAAAATTAATCAATCAGAAAATTATGATTATATTTTTATATTACACAAAAACTGTCTGAATTAATAGAGATAAATAGGGGAGCTAAGCACTCAAATTTTAATTCCTAAATGCAAATTTACTTGACTAAAATTCCCAGTCTCTGAACAATGATGCATCAATGAATGTCTTACCACAGTGTTGTGTCCCTACCTCTGCTCACAGCCTGCTCCAAACCTTCTTTTTATAACCACCTGAGTACTCTCTACTATTCAAATCTCTTCACTTCACCCCTGTCTCAAGTGTTTCAATGGCTTCCCATTACCTGCAGGCATGAGTTCACATTCCTGAGCTAGTTGAAGTATGTCCTTTGCTATTTGACTCCAAACTAATTTCTAAATATCACCTCTGGTTATTCCATGCCATTCATTTTATTTTCATACTGCCACAGAAACTAGTCATTATTCTGAAAACCTATTCTTTTTTGCTTTTGTTTATATGGTTTCCTGTGCTTGAAATACCCTCCTCCAATTTTTTATCTTAGTCCTATTGCTTCTTGAGGACTCATCCCAATTATCTCTTTCAAATAAATAATATTGATGCTGGGCCCACATTGAATCAGGCACCGTGCTAGGAGCTGGGGAGGGAGAGTGCTGAATAGAACAAGTTCTTGAACATTCACCTTCCAGGAGGGAGGAAGTCTTGAAAGCAAACAAGTGGTCTATTGTGGTATCAAATGAGGCCATAAGACTAATATTGGCACTCAGACAAGGATTCCCAGAGTCCTTGTCACCAGTCTGAGTTTTGAAGGATGAAGAAGAGTTTGCCAGATAGGTAAGGGAGGAAGCATTTCAGGCAGAGGGAACAGAAGTGACATTGAACATAGTATACTGGGGACCTGATAGCCTGGTACTGCTGAGTGTCTAAGCTTCATAGAAGGACGGAGGCAGGGCAAAGCCACGCTGTCTTGTTTGGGTCCTCTTTCCTCCCATTCCCCACAGCCTGCTGTTCACAGCCAAGGGAGGCAACTTTTCCTCTTGCATCTTCGTTGTTCATTTATGTATTGGTTTCACCCTGCCCTGTAGGGAGTTCCTGAGAAGCAGGGACCAAGAATTATTCATCTCGGCAACATCAAAATCTCATATTATTACCACAGCACCTAGACATGTGCACATTGTAGGCATTCAAAATTTTTGCTCAGTAAACAAAAGGAAGTCCATCTAGTTCTACCTTTATGAGAAATAATCATAAACTTGAAATCAGAATAGCTCCCTTTATTGAGT